ACTATTCATGTGTCTGGTGAGTCTGGGAAAGACTAAAATTATGTGGTCTTCTGCAGCGAGCACCAACTTGTTCACCTGTAGCAAAGCTGACAGAAACAGCTTAAAAAGTAGTGGAGTGTAAGCAGTGATAGCGCGGGTTTGAGTTGTAGGGTTGGGGGGTGTGTGTGTGTGTGATTTTCAGCATCTGTAAATGTTTTGTCCAGCATAGGTACTGCATTCATCAGAGTGATTTATTCCACTTTAGGAACTGGAAATTCTTCCTGGCTTAATGTTTAAGATTTTTATTTAGTTTTCTTGGATGAATTGGTTTCTTGGGAATTGTTCTATAAGAGGGGATTTGGGGTCTGCATATCTCAAAACCCAAGAGAGCAGGGAAGTGAAAAGGCTGTGGGCTCAGCTCTCTGAGCACAGGCATTCTCGGGGACCGACTAACCCAGCCAGGGCCCTGTATTTTCAGCTTTCAAAGTCACCCATGCAGAATTATCCTTTGGAATCAAAACTTCTATTTCTTTCAGAAAAATGGTGCTTGTGTCTTTTCTAAATTTCCTTTGAAAACAGGATCCCAGTGTAATTCTGCCTGCAGCTATGTCTCTCGGAGGGCTGCACTGCCCTTTCTGTCTCGGAGGTACTTTCTAACACTGCTGATTTATAAGACATCGTTATGAGTAACTAGCGTAAGCTTGGGCCGAAATACACAGCTAATGTGTCTGTTCCATAGCGTGACATCCTAAATCAAGTCCTTTGCCTCCGTGCATGTGAAGGGCCCAGTGTTTTCCTCCTCTGTGAGTTTCTGAATTCAGCCCTCCTACCTCGCTCTCAAAATCCCTTCGATAACTTCTGCGTTGCTGATTGTTGTTTAATTATTTAATCTCAGCTTTTAAAACGTGAAGCCACGACAAAGTTTGCTGTCCGATGGATGAGGACAGCATACAAGTCCAAGTCCATGCAGTCCCCGGCGCAGCACCGGGTGCCAGCAGCCCCGGCAGGGCAAGGGGCAGCGCTTGGCTTGCTTACGTACGCGGCCCCGCCGCCTCGGAATGCCGTGGTAACCCTGGGTTTGGAGGGAGGTACTGATTAGTGGTAGATGAGCAAGCCAAATCAGAGCCTGGTTTCTCTTGTCGTTTGATTCAGCTGCAGCAACGTGCGAGGAACTGTAAATTTGAGGTTTGTACCTGAGGGACTCGTACTCTAAATGAGAACAACTGGTGGTAAGGGCAGTTTAGTAAAGCCAAGTAATTATCTGATAAACAAGGTCCTTGTAGAAGTGTACGAAAATCACATTGTCCTTTCTGATTCCTCAACCCTTGTCATAAATGCATTAAATGTGACAGATCTTACATTACTGTCATGATCTTGGAAAGCAGTCATTGCTCAGCGGCCTTATGGGATTTCATTCTGGGTCTTGCATAAACTTTTGAAAAAACGCTTAAGTGCCTGATTTTCTAAGGTGCAAGATATCTTAGGGTAGATAAGTACCTATTAACAGCTGTCTGTAAAGAAAGTTAGACACCCAAAATCATGCACTAACTTAAGGCAAAAAAATCCTCATTCATTTTGATACTTGGCTATTTTCTTAAGTTGTTTTCCATTTCCTGATCGCGGTATTAATCCTAACTTACGAACATTTAAATTACTCTGGAATAACATTCACTGCATCTTTCCATGAGCATGCAGTGATCAAATAGTCTGTTAAGTGTTTCAGTTTGTCAGCTCAAGAAGACTGAAAAATAAAGTATTGGTGGTGACGGAGAGTGTCAAAGTCAGCTGGATGCGCTGTGTTTGGAGCAAATAGTAAAGAATATGTTGAATTTCTTAGGTGTGTGCTCAGATTCAGCAGAGACTGGTGGTGGGCAGGGCTGACATAATTATTTTATCTCCTGTTGAATTGCAGTGAGGGTCAGATGCATAACTATTACAGAGCTTTTAGAAATGCCAGTCTATAATCCCCAGACGTTGGGTCGTGAGGTGAGCAGAAGAAGGGATGACGTTCGCAGCCCAGGTAGAAGCCTGCCAGCGAGCAAAAGCTGTGAAAGGGTAGCGCCTCGCCTACTGCGGTAGCTGGTCTCACCAGTTCAGAGGCCAATCCTCTCATGATGTACTGAAAAAGAAAAATCTCGCATTACTGTTTGCCATACTGTAGCGGTGGATGAAAAGAAAACTTGAGCCTTTGGGACTGGCAATAACACCACTTTTATTAAGTTTCTATTGAAGGACTATTTTGAGTAAGATAAATTGATGGCTGAACACAATAATCTTCAGTATCTCACTTTCAAATACTTAGTAGGCAAGCACTAGTGAATAAGAAGAAATTAAGCTAAGATGTAGAAAAAAGGTTACTTGGCAACATCATAGTGTTTGTAAAGAGGAGAAAGAAGGGTTGAGAACTTAAATGAATTTCGATTATAGAATTTTCTGTAAGTAAGTCATTGCATGAATAGAAAAATCCTGAACCAGATTCTGGTGTCATAGTCTAATAGGGATTGCCTAAAGCAAAACAGGGTTTGTTTGGAAACAAACTGCAGAGAATAGCAAAAGCATAGCTGCTGCGTGTGAACAAAATTGGATTCCCGAGAGGCAGGCAGTGCTGGTCATACCTCAAGCAGAGACGATCTGAACAAGGTATGTGGTACTGATGAAAGCTGGTGTTCATTTTTTTGTTGTCTGGAGTAAACATACTTGGAAGTGTGGAAGTGTTGATTCGGAGACCCCCATGTTTACTGTGTGACATACTCTTTAAAAAGTTTTGGCTTACCTTCAGTAATTGGGAGGAAAACACCGAATACAGAAGCACTATGGCCTATAATTACAGTTCTGCCCGTTGTGCCAGTGTGATTTCAATGGGTAAATGAATTTTCCTCTGTAATAATAACCTTATTAATTTCTGACTCTTGCAGAGAAGAATCCATTCATTGTCAGAGTTCAGACTTTTGCAGTGGGTTTCTGTAGTGGTAACCAGTTGTATGGCTCAACTCATCGTACCTGGTGCTTTGGGTGCAATAGGAGGTGCAATACCAAAGCCAAAAAAAGTTAACTACCAAACTGCCCCTTCCCATCCATTTGAGCCTCCAGTAAAATCTGTTTTTAAAGTAAAGACCAAATTAAAGTAAACATCATCTTGTAGAGCCTGAATTTTGCAAATTAATTCAGTGGACCATGGCAACCGAATGTGGTACATTTATGGTAAATCCAGTTTGATTGGAAATACTTAATTATGGTACCTAGGAAAATGCAGTCGAACAAATAATATCTCCCCCCCCCAGCCCATGCTAAAATTTCAGCTGTTAGTAAACATTCTACCAAATCTAAAAGACTCAGTGAAATCTTGTTAGTAAGTGCGTTCACATGGACATTTTTCCATTGGAGACCAGTACATATCCATATGGAGTGTGATTTCTTGAACCACTATAAACTCCCCAGTGTAGGGAGCTGAATTGCTCCCTGGGGGATGCTTTTTGGTCTTTCTCACCTATGTAGGGAGCCGAAATTAAAGACACTGGTGGCAGTTTTCACACAGTTCAGTGTATAGTAAATTAGTTTACTAAAAATAGTAAATACAGTTCAGTAAGTAAAGGAATACTTCAAAAGTCTATATTTTCTTAGGATTTGTGCTTTATTTTCTGTTACTGATCATACATCTCATTACAACTATGGGGATTTAAGAAAAAGAGATTCACAGTGATGTGTTCTAGTTACTTGTTTTTCTTTTCATTCAGTGTGGAGAGCAAAACTAATAAAACTTGTTTAATTTTCTTTTTACTTTCAGTCACTGATTTTTGAATGTCTGTTGTGCCAGTTTGTGCCAATAAGTCTTAGAACAGCATTACTTTGGGTGCTTTAAAATACTTAGAGCTTGGTTTCACTACTCTGATGATTTGAGACGTAAGTGCACTATTATTCTGACATAACTCCTACATACCTCAAAAATGCTAGTTGCGGCCAAGCTCGAATCGTGATCAAAGTGGCACATCAATGGAATGGGTTGAAGTTTTGTGGAGTTGGGATGGGGTTTTCTGTGGTGTTAATCCAAATGCTGTGCCATTCAAATATTGAGTTAAGTTGACCAAATCAAATTGTGCTGACTCTGCAGAGAAATAATTGCTATTCCAAAGTAGGCAATGGGTTGTCTTTTGTATTTTAAGTTATTCTGTTACAAATTAGAACTTCTAATCACTAAGTATGCATAAAGCACTTCTCTTCCCTGTTACTTTTTTCTGTTCTGCTTAAATTTAAAAAACAAAAACCAAAACACTTCAAAACCAAACTTCTGTGCTGGGTCACATGTAGTTGTTAAGACAAATTAGCAAATGTAGCTTGCAAATAACCAATTGAACTAACTTTTTAACATCATTGGCTATAGAAAAAAATGTTTTATCTATGGTTGCTTAGTGCTCTACCACATCAGTTCCTGACTTTATAGCTTTTGGTAAGATGAGCTCAGGATTTTGTATGAGGGTAAGAAGTTGTCGTTAGACTCAGTTCTGCAATTTCCAGGTTTCATCAAAGCACTCCTGAATGTACCCGATTATGATCTGCTGGAATCTATAAGAGTGCCTATGCCCTTGAACAAAATCACATGCTAACCTGCTCAGCTCAAGTGAGAGCCTGTTGCTGGCCCACCTGCAAGACCTGTTATTTAATGGCCTGCGCCCTTGTTCATGTATAAGGCAGATGATGTAAAAAATATATCTGAATTCAAAGTCTCTCAAATCCATTTTTTCCCATGTTTAAATTACCTTTAGTATCAGAAACTGGCCATATCTTGTGTATTTTTTAATCTTCCTTCCTTACCAGGTGAGTGTTTAAGAAGCACCGTGGTCCCTTCTGGATTTTTGGCAGTGTTGCGTTACAGGGTCATTTCGTTCAGCATGGTGTGTGTAAATGGATGTGTATGTCCGTGCGTGCATGCTTATGTAGAGATAGATCTGTGTTGATATCTGAAATAATAGATGTGAGGGCTTTAACCTTGTAACTGTTACGAGATCTTTATGTGTCTGCTTTAGGGTCGACCCTATCCCATATGACACTCCAAAACCAGCGGGCCACACGCGATTTGTCTGCGTCTCAGACACACACTCCAGAACAGATGGCATCCAGATGCCTTATGGGGACATCCTTCTCCACACGGGCGATTTCACCGAACTGGGACTGCCCTCAGAGGTTAAGAAGTTTAATGACTGGTTAGGTAAGGAATTACTGCGTTTTGGTGACCCCAATTAACCTCTCCTGTCCAAGTGTCAGTCACTGCCTCCTAATTGAATTAGAGCACTTGCAAATCCCCCCCTACCCTTGCTTCACTTGTCCTCATGTGATGTGCTGTTTCTAGCCTCAGTATGATTCTGTTAATTAAGACAAATTTAGAGACTTTGCTGTATTTCTGCATTATCTTGGGGGAAAAGATTCTGTCATTCCACAGCAAGGACTGTGTAGCCTTCGGTGTGTGCTGAGGGGGTGGTGGCACCTCACATGAATGCGTACAGCGTCCTGTTAGTTGGTGCTGTGGGGTTTTATGTCCACAGCCAAAACTATTGCTCACTGTATTCTGGGTTTACCATAATTGAAAGCAGTGCTGAAAGTTACAGCTTATTTGGAAATGATGAAAGTCCTTCTTCCCACAGTATAGGATAGCAAAATCGATAATACTGTTTGGAAGAGGAGAATTTTTTTTGGGGTGGTATTTACATGATTGCCCCTTTGAGTTAGAGTACTGGCATTTTAAATTTGAATGCAGGCACTCAATGCCTCTCCGGTAGAGTGCCTTTCGTATTCTGCTGTAGTTGATAGCCGTGCCTCGATAGTGTATTGCTACGCATGAGGGCAATTAAATTGCCACAGTAGAAGACGAAAATGAAGGAGGGGAACTTGTGCAGGACGCTTCTGTTATAAATGCCACTGATAGGCTGGCTGTGTACTGCCATGTCACCACTTGCATTAGAAACAGTCAGAGGTGAAGGTGACTCAAACAGCTGATCTTCAAGAAACATTAGAATGAATTTACACCATTATGTAAAAACCTTTGAAAGTATAGCTTTGTCATCATGCTTTACCTCCATCACTGCACTCTCTCTTGCCTGCTGTATGATGGTCACATCTCTACATGCCTTTAATAGCATCATTTTATTCCATTGGAGTTCCCTGGCTGACCCTTCAAGAGATAAGTAAAGAACATTTGGATTTACAAAAGGAATTTTTAAATAGAAGAGCTTCCATATTCTCCATCTTTTCGCCCTCTGTATTTTCTCCATACTGTTTTTTTATCTTCCTTCTGACCTTCTCTGATTTCCATAGCCCAGTTTTAAAGAACGTTTTCCCTTCTTTTTATTGCTGTGCATGTGGGATTGGGGCTTCCAGATACTGCCATATTACTGTAATTTAGTTTTATCGTTCTTATTTCTAGAAAGCGGCACTAGATTTTATGGACGCAAAACTATCCTTTTTGCTAGGAATGTAATTGCAGGACTGGGAATTAAGAAGTGGTAGGAGAAGTAGGTGGGTATGTACATAGGTTGAGGGAAGAGACACAGTAGGAATCATCTTCCTCAATTTTTGATGTTCTTTGTGATAACCTGTAAATGTTAGTGTTGCGACGGAGGAGCAAGCAAGGTAAGGGCAGTGGGAGGCTGCACTGGGAGCACTGTGGTCCCACCAACCTTCGGTCCTTGTAGAGAAGCCGGGCAGCGCTGCTGTTCAATGAGTTCAGTTGTTAGAGATGCCAGGCAGCTCCAGAAAAGGAATTGCTTTCTGGAGAGTGTAGACCTCCAAAGTCTACCCTGAATGCACTGCTAAGAGCAGTGTCTGGTTACCAAAGTTCCTCTTTAGACCTTGGGTTGTTTCACAAGGATTGTTTTGATACAGCCAGAGCCCGTGTCCAGTGCTTGGCATTTGAAAACGCTAACTCAGTACTGCTGAAGGCCAAAACAAGTAAGCTGCTAGCATGTTTTCACCCGTCCATGGGGAATCTTACGTATCAACAGCCACTTGGCATTCCTTATATTTAACAGGTGTTCCATGATGATGTTATTTTATCACACAGATCCTTGGTTTAACATTTCTAACAGAAGAATTATAACCCTTTGAATAGGTTTTGTTCCAACCTCAATAATTTAGCATGGGGCTTTCTTAGCATATATATAGTTCTTACAGAAGTCAGTGTAGTTATTTATCTGAGAAAGCAGGTTTTGCAGTTCTTTGGCAGTCAGTGTCATTGAAACTGGAAGCCTTGGCTGTGTGAGGCTTTGGCCTCAGGCTTCCCTATTTCAGGTGCAGAGAAAACTTCTTTTGTTATTTTATTCTCTCTTTTTTTTTTTTTTTTTTAACGTGCACAGAGTCCACTTGCATTTTCATATATATGACAATACCAGTTATTAGGTTGCTGGCATAAGGTGAGGCAGCAGATTGGTTCCCCTGTGGAATCTTGTCGCGTTGGTGAATACCTGCTCCAGTGCTGTCCTCTCCTCATCTGGAATCAAAACACTATGAAGTCAGGCATACCCTTTTGCCGCTTTATTTCGGGCTCCTAACTGCAAAATAGGAGTAATCGCGTTTTACTATTTACTATGTATATTGTGAAGATTAATACCTTTAAGGTTGTGATGTGATGACATGTAATACTTTAAAAAGTACATACCAGTGGCAGTCAGGAACAAGCAGGATTCCTTTTTCTTCTGCCATATAGCGGGAGGCATCTTTTTTCATCAGAGTTGGTAGGAACCTTATTCCAAAGCAATGCACTGAGAACTCCCATCAAGTACAACGTTGTCCTTATAGAAAGGGGTTTTCATACCTTTCATGTGCATGGTCTTCTCCACTGGCGATGGTGTTGTAAAGCAGTAGTGCAGACAAGGCATTCGTATCGTTTACACCTCAAGGGAAGGAGGTGAGATCAAAGCTAGGCTTCATTCTGCAGCTTATTTTATCCAGTCTGTGGTTAAACAACAGGACCTCATCTCCACTAGGATTATATAATGGGATAACTAAAATATAATAACTATCCGTAATTTTCTTGGCAGAAAAGCTGAGAGAAAAGTTAAAAGATGATTATTCCAAACCCCTTGGCTCACTTGTACTTCACTGAGTGTAACATATGCCAGAGTTACACGGGACTGAAAGCACTTCTGTCAACCCTGCGATTTTATATTTTGTGGGTCTTGTATCCCTTTGCAACTCTTAAGGTATCTCACCTGAGCAAAATGTTCAGCATCTTGTCCATCCATTTCATTAACATTTATCCTTCTTCCTCATCTCTGTAGCCAAATCACAGAACA